GGAAGGGACCTCCCCAGAGCTGGAGAGCAAATCCAATGGTCATGAAGACTCCCAGAGCCACTCCCAGGCTCCGAGGTCCCCAGAGGCGAAAGGTCCTGGTAGGAGACCAAGGGCCCATGTGGCACTGGGAGGGGTGGCTCTGATAGGGGACAGGGCCAGGAACAGAGGCAGAGACAGCTTGAGGTAGCCGTGCAGCTGCTGAAGGTGCCGATTGGAGATCGGGGGGGTCATTCCCCAAACCTGCTCGCAGCCCTGGTAGAGTTAGCAGATTTTTGCCTCTGTCAGCGTCTAGAAGGGAAATGAGGGGGGAAGGAAGGAATCTAAGAAGAGGGGTAGAACCTTCTCTCCAGCTGTGGCAGCTGAGACCTAATTCAGGGAGGAGGAGCAGGCTGCAACAGGGTAGGTCCTGGCATACACTCAAGTGGTGGCCCCACAACTACTATTCCAGTAGTTGGCCTCCAGTTCCTCCAAACCCCATCTACGGTTTCTCCTTGAGCCTTGGGGATTTTGAGGGAAAGAGAGAAAGACAAAGACCCAGTGAGAAAGATCAGATGTATCCATTCCTGTAACAGTGAGGTGGACGCTGCCAAGCCCCAGGCTACTTACTAAACTCCTGACTGTGACAAATCGGGGTGAAGAGCCCCATTCTGAAGCTAAGAAGAGAAGCCAAAAGGAAGGAATGAGACACAGCACAAGCTGAGAGCCCAGAGAAGCGAGACTACTTGGTAATGAGAGTCAGCTATTCTGGGTATGTAAGGCAGGCTGAGGGAGATGTGGCATTTCTTAGGGAACCCAGTTGCCCAGACACACCCCCACACCACCCCATTCCTACTTTCCATACCTGTCAATGTACCTGGAAGGGACTGAGAGGCTGGGGTGGCGGTGGGAGAAGGGAGAAAGAGCGCTCTGCTCCCAAGAGGGAGGAAGGGAGGAGGGGGGCAGCGAGAGACCCAGCTTCAGAATTCCTTTTCAGGCCCCAGCTTCCTAATCAACCAAGATTCGGGACCCACCCCTTTTAGATTACAACTCAGAAAGCCAGCCAGCCACCCAGCTGCAGTGCTTGACAAGTCCTGACAGCCCCCTTCCAGAAAAAGCCTGGAGTGACCCCCCCAGCAGAAAAGAACCCACACTTGTTACCCAGAGACCCGCCCACTCTGGCATCACCTCCCACCTCCAGCTCCCTCCCCCAACACAGACCCGAAGATCAGCCCCTCACCAGACTCCTGGGTCCAGATTTCTCACCCATCTCTGTCTCTTGTCCATTACCCCCAATTCCAGCCTTCTGCCCCTCCAGTTTTAGTGACTGTTCAGTCTATCGCCAGCCCTTTGTTGGCTCCCTCCGGGGTTCTTTCTGTGGACCCCCTAAGTCTCCGCCCATAAATTCTAGGGTCCCAGGACTCAGCTTTACTTGCCTACTCACTCAGTCACCTGGGGAGCAGCAGGTAAATCCGGGTCTGGCCCTCCAGCCAGAAGCAGCCACCGCCCAGCTCCTAGCTCGCCCAACTTTCCCCGTAAACTTTCCCCACGTCCAGGCTCCTCCCCTCTCCCTCCCTTTGTCCCGCCAGTCCCAGCAGCCGCTGGGCTTTGATCACATCTCCCAGTCGCTCCCTCCCTGAGTCTCTCCCTCCATCAGAGCAGCCTGCCTGCCCTTGGAAGACACTACTTGAACCCACCTTTTACACTTAGGAATCAATTATACCTTTTTCTCCATGCTTTTTCCTGAACAAAGGATTCATTCAGGGACACAAAGAAAGAAAAAGGGAAGGAGAAAGTAACAGAAAGGAGTTGAAAGCAGACATTGTTAGGGACATTGTAAGGTAGCCAGAGGCTGACACAAGTGGAGAACAAGGCCCCCATGAGAAGGCAGGGGGTAGTATTACTAATAATTCTTTATAATCAAACAGAATTTTGTCAGAGACAAGGAGCTTCCTTGCAGCGTTCTTGTGCATTGCTCACAATTCCCTCTTTTAGAGATGAAGGTGCTCAGACCCAGAGAATGGACAATTTGCCCAAACTCTATCCAAGGGACAGGTTTCAAGACAGGGGAGCATCAGACAGAAAGCCAGCCAGTCACCCAGGCTCTGGAACCTCTGCTGGGAGCCAGGGTGCAGGGAGGAATGCTGAAGGTACAGAGTCACACAGATCTGATACATTGGCCATTTATTTGTAGAAAAAACACTAAAACATGAAGTGAAGAAGCTTGTGAAGGATGTGGATGGCAGAGGTCATGAGATCAGCCTTTTCTTCTTGCTTTTTGATATTTTAGTTTAAGAAATTGATACTGAAAAAATTCAATGAAACCCAGGCCCATACATCCTGACACCTTATTCCCCTCAGTTCATCTAATTCCCTGCCCAGCTCTCTGGCAACCCCCACCCAGCTTTGTCCCACTTCTAAGACTGGGTGCTCCCACCCCTCCCACTTCCAACCTCCTTCAAGCCCCCTCCCCCAACTGCAGCTATTCTCCTCCCTTGCGGAGGCGGCCAGTCCAACCTGAGAGACTTAGCTGGAGACCACACCCCCTCCCTAAATAAATACCTAGCCTCCCACCCTCCCCAATTACCAAATGAAAAAATAAATACTGTAAACACCCACCCCTCCAGATCTGCCAGTGGGAATCTCTTGGATCTGGGGCCCCAGCCATTCATCCAAAAAGTCCCTTCTCTGCTCTCTCTGCAGCCCCCTTCAACTCCTCCCCAGACTCAGCTGGGGGGAGGGGAAGGCTCTGGACTCTTCCAATGCTAGGGCACCCTTCCCCTGTTATCGAGGCCCAAGCAGGGCCAAGGCTGAGAGGAAGAGAATGAGAATGGGCTGGGAATGAAAACCAACAGATGTCCCCCCAGTTCTGCCCCTGCCCTGGTTGTGGCGGATAATGACACCTCCTCCTCTGCCCCCAGAGCCATCCTTTCGAGAAGGTCTAGGAGGCCGGCCTGGGGGGGCAACAGCTGCTGTTCCAGCCTTCCAGTCATCTGCATAGTGTTGTCCCTCTCCAGAGCCGCTGGTATCCTCATCTGCAAGAAGGGAGAGGGTCACAGACATATAGGAATGGGCAAGGTGTGTGTGTGTGTGTGTGTGTGTGTGTGTTTTGGTGGGGGGCAGGCAGACAACAGGAAGAAAGGCAAGAAAGCCAGGTGGAGATTGGGAGGGGGTGAGAGTGACTGGAAGGCAGGGAGTGAGGTCATACAGTGGGAATGAGAGAAGGCTATGAGAAAGAGGAAAAGGGAAAATGGGACAAAACCAGAATAGGGAAAGAGAGAGACAGAGAGAGAGGCAGATGAAGGGGATGAGGGGAATAATGAATGTCTGAGTGCTCTCTGCTTCTCTGGCAAACTGTCTGGGGAAGCCAGTCTGGCATAGCCTCTCCCTCCCCATCTCCCACAGCCTTCCACCAACACTAAAAATCTTCTCACTGTTCTGCAAGCAGGTTTTGGTGTCTCCGCCCACTAGCCCATGAACTCACTGCTCATCTACCCTTCACCTTTGAGGTAAGCACTCAGCAGATGTGTGTTAACAGGGGATGAATCATGAAAGGTTACTGAGTAGAGGGCCCTGGAAGAAGGCTCAGAAGGCAGCGGGCGGGCCTTGGGGCCCAGGAAGGCCCAAATCCCAGAAAATGTGGAGGGGCACGTCCTTGAGCAGCTTCTCACCCCAGTCGTCACGTTCCAGGTCCCTTCCCAAGGCCGCAGCCTTCATCCTGGTTGTAGCCGCCCGGAGCTGCAGCCTCCGCCTCCGCGTCTGGAGGTCGGGACCCAAGTCTTCCCCATGCAGCTCAGGGTTGTCTTGCTGCTCAGTAGGGGAGGCCCCTACCACCGGTGACAAGTACCTGCGAACAGAGCAGCCCCAAGGCTCCCGCCCGCCGGGCCCTGGGGCCACGCCTTCCTGCTAGCCCACCCCGTCCAGGCCCGCCCGGTGCTCACCGGCCCCGCCCGGCTCCGGTCCAGCAGGGCGCCGACTCCTGTGAGACGTCTGCGGCCATGCGCGAGTCGCCGCACACCGTCAGAGGCAGCCTGGCCCAGAAGCCCCGGACCCGGCTCACCCGCTGTCGGAGCTCCCACACCTGGGTGTGCAGAGAGAGCAGGGCAGAGCTGGGGCACACAATTCACCTGCCCGCGGGCAATGCTCCAGCTGCCCCCACTCACCAGCCCGTGTAGACCCGAGCCCATAGCCACAGATGTGGGCTGCTCCTCCTCTGGCCCAGAGTTCCAGATCAGGCCAGCCTCTTCCCGTGGGGCTGGGGCTCTGCGGGTGCGAGCCAGAGTGGGTTGGGGGGCCCCACATTCCTGAAACACCTGTGGCACAGGGAAAAGACACCCTCACAAACAGTTACCTGGTAGTGAAACCCACACAGTCTTCATTCCAACTCCCAACCTCCCCTATATGCCACACAAATACCACACACTGGCCTTCCTTCTCTTCTGAATTTAAGCTGGCATCCCAGACTGTCTCCCCCCTACCCCCCAGGCTGGCACTCCCACTTTCTAACACTCCCATGGCTCCAGTACCTGGGCTGACACCCTTGCACTGTTTTCCTGAAGATACATCAAACCCTCTGAGATCTTCACCCCTATAGACTGGGCTGCCAGCTCAAAGGAAAAGGGGCCCTGGAGCTTCTCAGCTAGAAACAGGAGACCATCTAGAAGGTGAAAAAGGGAAGGGGGGCAATCAGGGGAATATTCCCTGAACTAGGAAGTTCCCACTAATACTGGCCTTATTTTGGAGGGAAGAGGCAAGGTAAAGCATGGGGGAAGCCCATATGCTGAGCAACCCAGGCTCGTTTAATTAGCTTAAAATTCTTGGTCCACCACCACCCTCTCCTGCACAGCCCTCCCAGGCTTTTTCTGAATCCCACTCACCCAGATAGCTCCCCCAGTCAGGATCCAGTGCTTGGTTGCTGAGACAGCCATGGGCCACATTGAGGCAGAAGTCCCGACAGGGTGGCAGCGAGGGGAACCCTTGACAAAAAGGGCAGCCGGTCAGACGCATCACTGCCCGCCTGCAGGCTTCAGACATAGGCATCTGGGGGGGCAGAGAGCAGGTCTGTGTTATCCACAAACACTGTGGCTGACCTCAGTCAAGCTTGGTACAGGTGCTGGGCACAGAGAGAAATCAAATACCCCATCCCACCTGGCGCAGACTCTATGTGGAAAGCTGGGCATCAACATCTAGGTGTGGCGACCCCAAGTAGCAGCAGGTGAGACCCCAAGTATGCCACAGACTGACAAGGGAGGTAATTAGGAGTCAATTTGCTCATTCTGCTTCTTGGGAGGTATGAAACTAGAGAGGTGGTATGGGGGTCTGAGAAAAGGTTCTGGACAAGAGTGGGCACATCATGGTTGGGGAGAGAGAATGCAGGAGGCAATACTAGGAGGTGAGGGAGAGAATGCCTTGCCCATTTGAAGGTCAAGCCAGGAATCTGGCATTCAGTTGCAGGGAAGAGGGAGCCATGGAGGGGCCCTAGAGGAAACAAGAGGGGCAGGACTCCAATCTCCAGCTGCTGTGGTGATGAGCCAGGCCGGGGTGGGGGTGGGGGGGCAGAGGCTAACAACGGATATGAGTCATCAGCGGTGGGAGGAGATCGTGGAACTTGACACATGGAAGACTTCATCTGGCCCCACTCCTTCCTGACTTACCCTGGGGTGCCAGGGTCTCAAGCTGATGCTGGAAGACCCCAAGCCTCTCCTGACAGCTGAGTGCCTGATTCTCTCTCATGGGCTTCTACTCTGCCTCTCCCTCCCTGTGCCCTGCCCACATGCAGCTCCCTCTAACCTTAAGAGTTTCGCTGACCACATCTCTTCCAGTCTGCAGACCCTGGATAAAGGCCCGGGCAGCCACCAGGGCCCGGGATACCTGGGGAAGGGGAAAGAAGGTGAGAGTTGTTGTGGTCTGGTCAAGACTGCACAAGGGGATGAGCAGTGGAATTATGTTGGGGTAGTCAGGAGTGTCAAGTGATACAGGGAGGCAGTCCAAGAGGTCCAAAGGAATTACAGAGTCTAGAAGGAGCAAGGGGAGCTGCAATTAAGAGACGGAAGGATTGAGTTTTACAGACTTGGAAATAGACTGAATCAGAACACTGAACTTGAAGCCAGATGACTTGGGTGTGAGACACAGCTCTAGGTTTGTGAGACCTTGACCTCTGGGAGGCTAAACTTTCTCATCTGTAAAACAAAAATACTACTCTCTACCTCTCAGAGTTATGATAACAATTAAATGACTTTCCATGAATGAGAATTCCTCTGAAATATCAAGTGCCTAATTCATGTTTAGTTGAATCAGAGGAAGTCAAGATATTAGGATTAGAGCTGAGTCAGCAGAAAGAATAGGTGAGTATGTCAGGGATTTGTGTGAAACTAGGCACGAAGGGGGAGAGATGACCCAAATTTGGGGGGGAGCAATTAAAGGAGACCAAGGAGCATTGAGTCTGACAGAGAAGATTGGGACTTAAGATAGGGGGTCACCTGCTGCCATGCAGGATTCAGGGGTTGTCTGGTCAGGGGTGAGGCACAAAAGGAGGGTTATCAGGTTGGAAGTGAGTGGTGTGCAGTTCAGAGGTGACTGAAGCTCAAGCCTTGGGACCCTCACCTGCAAGCGGAGGCGGCGGGGTGAGTCCCCAAAAGGCTTCAGAAGGTCTTCGGCAGAGGACGCTAGGCGCGTGAGGCAGAAGAGATATTCGGGGGAGAAGGTATATTGTGGGTGCAGCAGGGGGAACACTCTCTCCAGGAGCTGCCCCCAGAAGTCCGCCAAGGCATCATCTAGCCCTTCACCGGACCTCTCATAGTAGTCCCGCAGTCGAGAAAACAGGCCACTGAATGATGGGGTATACTGAGCGTACATGTGGCGGCCATAAGAGCGTTGGAAGAGCAGGGCCAGGGAGTGTTCAGATGATGAAAGCATCTCCCGAAAAACCTCTGTGGTAAATGCAGAGAAAGAGATGTGCGGTGGCATGAGGTAGAGAAGGATGGAAAAATGAAGGGCAGAGGCAGGAAGAGACGGGCATGGGGAGACTAGAGCAAAGACAGTGAGTTGGAAACTGAGCAGGTCTTAGAGGCCAGGGCAGACTGGGAATTTGGGGGTAGGGGTAACATGGAGACAGGGCAGGGCCTTGGAGAGCACCTTGGGTGAGGCTGGGGCGAAGTCAAGACAGGGCTGGGGTGCCTTAGGTGTGGAATAGGGAGTGAGGACAAAATGCCTGCTGAGAGTGAACACAAAGAGAAGAATAAGGCCAGGTTTGGGGACCCCAAGTCCTCACCGTCAAATTTTCTGTGCCGGGCAGCCAGTGTATGAACCAAGAAGGAACCGCTCTCTTCCACCAAGCCTCGGAAGGTGGCCTCAGTGTCCCAGGTGAGCTTCTGCTCTATCTCACTGGTACAGCAGGTGTACTGCTGGGGACAGATCCGGAGATGCTCACCTGAATAGAAAAGATATGGAGGAATGGTGGTAAGTTATTTCATGTAATCTTTTCCTTCTATCTCCTATCTCTGGAGGTATCATCCCTTTTCTTCACCTGTCTGGTCTATTTTCTATTGTCTGACCCCCTCATCTCCACCTGACCCTTTCAACTCCTTATTGTTCCCTCCTCCATCCCATGTCCACTCTTATTAGCCATATGATTGAGTAGTGATGGGCCAAATTAGTGTCCAGAGGGACCTCATGTGACCTTCCCCAACATCACATACCCCAGATCTCTAAGGATATACAGAATGGCTTCTACGGGAAGAATGGGGTTTGGAAGGGGTGGGGTTACTTGGTTAAAAAGAAAGTATAGGTTGGCTGGGAAGAATGGGGTTTGGAAAGGGTGGGGTTACTTGGTTAAAAGGAAAGTATAGGTTGGCTCAGAATTCCCGAGGAGAACAAACTGGGATGTAAAGAAAGAAACACAGATCCTTCTAATCACTAGAAAGGGATTCCTGGGGTGGGGGTGTAATAAGAGAGCTATTATGTGAAAAGGAGGGATTGCTGTGATCTTAGTAAAGAAGTTCTGGAGGAGGAGAGCGATTATTATATGAGATGAAAAGATGATTATAACGGTCAGTCTGAAAAGGAAGAGTTATTGTGAGAGAGGGTGGACCCGCCCCCGTCCCCCTCCCACACCCTCAATTCTCTTGTCTTCGTTCTCCTCACCTGAGATCAGGGCGGGAGGGAGTAGGTTTAAGCTATAGCCCCGGGACCCCAGCACCTGCCGGGTCTCAGAGCAACTCCCGGTGACCTTTGCCTCGCTCCCGGGTCCAGGACCAGGACCGGGACACAGGGGAAGCAGCAGAAGCAGAAGAGATCGCAGCGCGGACATAGCTGCTGCCGCCCTGGGGCTGTAAAGTGGGTCCTAAGGAAGAAAGAAGAGTCGCCCGAACTCACGAAGTCAGTTCCCGGCCGTGGGACTGCCCCACCGGCCAGAGAAAGAGCGCGACCTCCGAAAACTGAACACCAGCAAGATAGCTGGACCAGGCGGCATCTGCCGAGACAATGGGAGCGGGGAACCGGGAGGGGGCGGGGCAGGGGCGGAGCCCAGCCAATGGTGGTAAAGAACTGGCCTAGGGGGCGGGGTCAAGGCAGAAATTAAACCAATGTTGCGGAGAAACTCAGTAGGGGGCGTGGCTCAGCAGAACTAAAGAGGTTGGGGGTGGGGCGTGTTCCTCCTCGGGGGCGTGGTATCAGTTCGAAAGGCGGGGCCTGAGTGGAACTCAGCCTATGGCAGTTGACAATCCAGATTGAAGGGGTTCCTACTAGTCTAGTCCGTAGCTCCTCCAATGGAGGGGGAAATTCGGAGCAAAGGGGGCGGTGCCGGGGTGGAGCCGGGTTAAAACCCGCCCGGCTTGCCCGAATCCACGTGATTGGGCGGCCCACCAGAGACCTCGTGGCAGCACGAGGCTGCCGGGGCGGCGTGACAGTAGCGTGGCGAGCACCAGCAAACACACGCCCAGGCCTCGCGACAACTACCTGCCGTTGGGTTTGCGCCTGCGCACAACGGGCCTCGTGCCTTCCCGCTTTTTTCTGGATTCTTCCGCGGCGGGAAAGGAAAGCGGAGGGCGTCTGTGACTGAGGTGGGGTGATCCTAGAAGCCTGTGGGTGTAGCGGCGGCGACTTTTCCTGTACCCTTCTCAGCGAGAAGTCGCGCAGACAGTGAGGCCCCTCTGTGACCTAAGAATCAGCCCTCTCCCCACCTGTTTGCCCCACCCTGAGAGAGGAGCCGCCTTCCTCCACTCAGGCCGCGAACCCCCTCCCAGTGACCCGGAGACTGCTCTGCACTCTTCTGAGCCGCCAAACGTCTCCTCAGCGCCAAGAAACTTACTGCAGAGTCGGTCAGGGACAGTGCTTTGTGGAACGAGGAGAGAAAATGATTTTTTTTAAAATTTTAAACTCCTTCAGCATGTCGTTCCATGTGGGATCAGTTTGTAGCCTTATAGAAACGGAAGCCTGGGCGCTTTTGCGTTCTGTCTGTATCGTGTGCGTTTTGGTTCCCCGCACCAGTGAGTTCACACGTCAGAAGCCCAGAGTCGGGCTGGGGCCCGCCGCTGCGGCCTGGCCCTGTGCGGCGCCTGCAGAGTGATTCCACGCCCCTGCTCGGCGTGCTGTGCCTGCACCACCCCCGCCTTCAGTGTCATTTTCCATGCATTACCCCCTTCTGGAGCAGATGCCTTGGAACAGAAAGGGGGTCGGGAGCAGTGGGGTGGCCAACGGAAGCCCTTTCTCTCTTTCTCCCCCAAGCTGGACGACATGCCCTCCCTGCGGTCCTCCCGGCGCCATAGCTCCTCGTCCCCAAGCAGCGTGTCCTCACCGCTGCTAAGAGGAGCGGCGGGCGGCCAGAGGCACTTGTCTGCGTCTTCTAGTTCCTCTCTCAGTGTGCTCTGTGATGACAGGGACTCGGACCAGGCCGTAGGCGGGTGAGTGCAGGTGGTGAGCAACCGGCAGCTACTTCCGGTCTGGGGTGAGGATGAAACACAAGCCCTGCTCCCCTTCCTTAGGACAGTGACCCCCACACACCCAAGCTCTGCTTGCCCTGGTGTCGGCATCCTGAATAGCACCTCCTGTTCTAAATTAATCATCTAGCTTGTTGTCTGGACCTTTCCAGAACATCTTTGTGTGTTCAGTGTGTGTAACTGCTGGTGGGAGCTAGGAAGCAAGGGAAGAGGAGTTGAGTGTAGTTGCAGTCCTGGCCTTCCCTTGTTTTGGACTCTAAACAGGTTCTTCTGTCCTTATCTGTTAGGTTTATCAGTTCATTCTGTGAAGGAAAAAATAGTGGTTTTTCTTTTTTTTTCTTTTTCTCTTTGCAGAGCACAGTGTCGTGCAAGATCTCATTTAATCCCCAGGCTATTTTGACTGCTTTTGTCCAGGCTGCTGTTGGGGACCATAGTTTATCTGTGTTACACACTTAGCTCTAATAAGTGACAGGTGATTGTTTCATGGGGTGAAATTTAACTGCAGTTACCTGTTAATCTGACTTTATATGAGTAGTAGCTGAGTTCCTGAGCCACCTGGTTTTTCTCCACAGCAGAGAACTCTCTGCCTGCTTACGTGAATATCGCTTGATTCTCCTACTCATACAAAATATTAGGAAAAAGGTGACCTTCACCCACTTCAGTGCCTCATTTTTCTTCTCCATTGCTTTGATCAAGTGAAAGTTTTCCTTTGTTTCTATTTCCTGGTAACAGTAAGCTCAGCTCTTAAAGAAAACCTGAATATATTTTTCTCACAGAGAGGGGCCACGGTTAGAGACAGAGAAATTATAATTCGACTACCCTATTGCATAAAGGGACTGGGTGTTGTTTCTAAGAAGAACCATACTCCCTCACAGGGATAGTGACTCTTTGTCAGCTGATGAAGGCAGTGACTTTGAAGATAGCTTGAGACGCAATGTGAAGAAGAGAGCAGCAAAACGACCACTCAAGACAACCCCAGTGAGTCAGTTTTGTTTTGTTTTGTTTTTGAACCTGGTCTGGGAAATGGCAAAAAACAAAACAAAAACAAAAACAACTCAATGAAGGTTAGGCAGTGTTAAATGAAGGATAAAACTTAAAAACTGTGAAGGGACAAAAGAAGGAAGAGGGCAAATTTTGAAAAAAAAAAAAGAATATGAAGAACAAGAATGGGGTTAAGGAACTTTTAAGGGTAGAAGTAGTTAAGTTTACAATGTAAATTACAAAATATAAAAAAATAAGTTATTTCAGATTGGAGTCAGAAACTGCTATGTATTATTGGTAGTTTCAGCTTATTTGTATGATAAGACCACGTATTTGCTCTCACCTGTAAGAAATATTCCAGATCTGTTTATACTTACTAGGTAGCAAAACAGCCAAAGAAGGGGTCCCGAATAGCACGTGGTCATGGTCAGAAGGAGGCAAAGCCACCAGCCAGTGATCTCTTTGATGCTGTGAAAGCTGCAAAAAGTGACATGCAGGTAAATGAGAGTCTCACTTGTTTCACCCTTTGTAGGGTGGAAAGACAAGGACAATTGTCTACAAATTTGATGTAATATGAATATTTTATAATATACTGTGGTGAGCGTAAGTGAACGTAACATACATCAGGAAAGATAGATAAGACTTTTGAGTGCTATAAGGTGACCTTGGATGAGAGAAAATGTTTCTTTCCCAAATGACCACAGAACAAGATCCATTTTGCCATTGTTGATTAGTGGATGATCTGAAGAGGAAACTTGGATATGGGTGGCAACTTGTTCACCCCTGTCACTATTTTACTCCACTTTGACAATTCTACCTAATTTTTCCCTCTCCCCACATTTCTTTTACTATAATTTCACAATTCTGATGCCATCTCTTAAGTGTAAAAGATTTATATGGTAGTTCGAATTTTTTTTAATGATCACTTAGATTTTGCCCAACTCCAAAAATGAAATATTAATAATGCTGTAGTGGCCCTTATAAAATCTTCCTTTCACTCTATCCCCACAGTCCCCTCACCACTCAGAGGTAACCACTAGACTGAACTTTCTATTAATCATCCCATGTCTTTCTTTGTAATTTTATCACCAGTGAATGTGTCCATAATTCCTATAAGTAAATTGTTCTTTATATAGTATTTTGTGATTTCATTGCTTCAGTATTGTTTGAATTACTAATATTGACATCTTATGTAAATTTTTATAGTTTTTAGAAGTGTTTTAAAGTTTCAAACATTTGTATTTTTATTTCTAATTTTATTGCACAATTTAGACTTTTTAAATCATGGAGACCAGATTTATGACTTAGCATTTAGCATCAGTTTCCAAAATATTTTACACATGCTTAAAGAGGACATATATTCTCCAGTGGTTAGGTACAGTGAGATCAAAATGTCAAATGTTACACTATATTGTTAATTCTACTTTTTTTTGTTCTTTGTATTTTTTGGCCTGTTTGATATATCAGTTACAGAGAGAAGTGACTTTCTTCAATTACTGGTTTTATATTAGAGCCCATCTTTAAACATTTTTGAGACTTTATTTCCTCATAGTCTGTACTGTAGATGCACTACTTTTATTGTTAAATACTCATGATGCTTTATCTTTATTCTTTAAGACAAATTGTTTTATATTTAACACACCTACAATAGTTTCATTTTTGGTTCGAAATTACCTAGTATCTTTTTCTGTCCTCTTATTTTCATTTTTTCTGTGTATGTTGGCATTCTGTCTTTTATATTCAGTATTTCTGAATTATGTTCTTTAATCCATTTGCCAATCTGTCATTTAGCCAGAGTTTGAGTCTTCTTTATTGATTGCCACTGCTGGTATATTTGATATATTTCTACCATTTTATGTGCTTTCCCTTTAGCTTACCCTTTTTGTTTCTTTTTCTTTGTTTGCTTGTTTTTGCATTTCTAGTTTCTACAGTGGCCTACCCACATTTTAGTTAATTTACATGTACTTTATATACAGTGTTTTAGTTCTGTCCACTCACCCCTCCTTAAAACTCAAAGCTTCCATACAGAATTATTCTCGTGCTGTCAAAAGTTTATCCTTTAATTTTTTTCATTAGTGTTCATTAACATGCTCATTTTTTCTTTGGATAAAATTTTTTACCCTTGTTCTTGAAAGGTTGCTAGATATAAAATTCTAAAATGAGTTTTTTAAATGTGCTAAAAGAGAAAAGATTATTCCATAGCCTTTTTAAAATTTATTTCAACATGCAAGAACTGGGATACAGGCCAGAGGTGGAGGGGGTAAGAGGATTCACCAGAGACAGAGTGGGGAGAGAACAGCCAGATCTACTGAAATACACTGCTGAGGGGAGCAGCAGGCAGGCAGGTCAGGAGAGGTCTGCCATGCCATGTTGGTCATCTCCCTGACCGGGAATTGAACTCTTGCTGACTGTGGATAGCTTCATATACTGCACTTTAACCTATTGTGCCACCAGGGAGACCCTATTCCAAAGCCATCTATTGTTATTCTTTATTGCTGCTGAAAATCACTTATATAGTATTAGTTAATACAATTCATAGTGTTGGAAATGTTCTATACCACCACTGCCTACTACATTATCTTCTAGCCATATATGGCTATTGAAATACTGAAATTTGACTGGTATAAGTGAAGAACTAGATTTTAAATTTTTATTTATTTCTTTTGGTGTGTGTCATAGTGGCTTAATGTATTTATGTAGCTGTACCTGTAAATGTTTTCCTTTGTAACTTAAATGCAAATCCCTGAGTAATCTTGTACTGTGACTGTTTTATCTGGTTGCCTTTTTTGCTTTTATATTCTGTTACTGTATAGGATGTTTTTAGGTGTAAAAATTTCTTTTTATTTGTTATGCTTATTTCCATTAGTCTCAGGCAACATAGATTTGTATCTTTCAACAACTACAGAAAATCTTTCTCAAATATTTGCCTCTTCTCATTCTTTTACCTTCTTCTGGGTTCTATTAGGCATCATTAGAACTTTCCTATTCTTTCAGTAGTGCTAATACAACCTCCTCTATGATACATCTCCTCTGTGATTGCTTCCCTATGGAAATTATGTCTTTTTGTATAAAATAATAACATTTGGGGCCCTCCCTGGTAGTGCAACCCATTAAAGCTCAGCACTGTGAAGCTAGCTGCAACTGCTTCAGCACAGAGTTTGATCCCCAGCCAGGGAGGTGACCCACATGGTACAGCAGACTTCTCCTGCTTCACCTGCTGCTCCCCTCAGCAGTGTACTTTGTCACTGCCTGTTCTGCTCCTTACTCTGTCTCTGGGGAATCTTCTCACCACCCCTGCTCCTCTGGCCTGTACCCAGTTCTGTATGCATAAATAAATAAATCTTTAAATATATATACTATATATTATATGTATCATAACTTGGATTTTTTTTGTTTGTTTCTTCTGCTCTTATTTTCTCATACATGCACTGAAGTTTTTAATTTTTCGACATCTATAAATTTTGTTTGGTTCTTCAGAATTCATCATTCTATTTCAACGCTTCTCTTTAATTATAATTTTATAATCTGTGGTAACCTCAATGTCTAAAGTCTGTAACTGTTACAGGGCAACTGTAGGTCTCACCCATGCGCTTACTTAAGATTCCACTGTAGGCACACACAAAAAGGTTAATAAGGGGCTTATTTATAAGAGAAAATGAAATAAATAATTCAGGGAGAGAGAGATAGATTAGTTGATTAAGGCATCCTACTAGTTCCACTGACCTGGAACCCCAATAGCACATTGAAAGCTGGCCAAGAACCCCCCCCCCCAAGGCCCACATGTCCGGTTTTATATCCAAACATCACTGCTTAACTCCACCCTGAGGTCCCAGCGTGCTTCCCTTTGGTGTTGCTGGGATTTGTAGTTCTGGTGGCTGGGGTGGGGATGAAGTCCACAAAACCTGTATCTGTAAAGTTCGTTCAAGATATCCTTTCCCCCTTTACATTACTATAATTCTGATAATTACTATAGCTGCTCTTTTCCTATGGAGCTCAGGGTGTTTTGGGCTTGAAGGAAGGTGGGTTTTAAAGAGAAGAACTTGTATTTGATTCTGTGAGTTGCCTGGGAGCAACTCCACAATCATTTCTAATTGAATTATCTACTTGAGATTATTCTGATGGTGTAGGTAATGTAGATGTTGACTCATATCCAGACCCAAGAGATGGCTTATGGTTCTGAATTCTCAAGGGAGAATTAATTTTTTTCCTTCGCCCACATTAAGAGCAGGCTAGTTTTCTGGCTGTCCTCTTCTGACCTACACGTTTATTCCTCATTTTTGGCTTCCTAAGGATGATTCTGTACAGGACCCAGCTTTATTCGGGAGCCTTCTTTGGACTATTTGCTTCGGAAAGACCTCTGGCTGTCTCTCCTTTGCTTTTCATCCCTTGCAGCCATCTGGACAGAAAGGCAGGATTTGAAGGGTTAATGTAATCATGAGGTTAAAAAAGTCAGCTCACTTAGATCTCAAGATTGCTACCTTCAATTCATTTCTTGCCTATATGGAATTCTGTCTCTTTTTTCCTGTTCAGTATATTTTAAAAGTTTTTAAAGTTTTAATCAGAAATTTACGTACTTGTATTTTCATATGTAATTTCTAGTCTGTCATATTGTCAGAAATCGAAATCATCTACATTGTTTTCCTAGTCTTTAGTGGATGAGTGGCTGGATAGTTACAAGCAAGACCAGGATGCAGGATTCTTGGACCTCATTAACTTTTTCATTCGCTCTTGTGGATGTAAAGGTGAGAAAACTGCTATCTTTTGCTAATCCCCATACTTTCGCTCCTGTTAAGAAACTTTTCTTTCATTTAAATGAGTAGGCATGTACATTTTCAAAATGATGGGTTCCTCTTATTTTTGATTGATTGTTGATTGATAAGTGAGGAATTGATCCAGGGGGAATTATGTTGGTTTGAAGAGCCTTTGGGGAAAAATAATCAGTCATGCTAATGTGATGATGTAATAATATTAACAAATTTGAAAATGGACCCTCAGGCACACTTTAGTTTTCATTTCTCTAGATGAAATACCCTTAATTTCTCACTCCTTATTTCTCAGCCATTTTGTTACATTTTTCATAGAAGTCTCAGGTGTCCAGGGGGTATGACCTAATTTTATTGGAGCAGCTAGCATCTGGGAGGTTTTATTATAAGAATTCAGAATCTGGTATGATTTTACTGCTTTTTTTTTTTCTGTGTACTTGTTTTAGCCATAGTTTTTCACTATTTGATTCCTTCAGGTGTTCTAAAGAGGTTTCTTATAGCAGATTCACAGTTAGATGGTGGCAGATTTAGGCTAGGGTTTAGGTCTTCTAATTCTCCACAAAGACACTTTTTAGAATGTTCCCTATTTTAAGATGTATATACAAATGGTCATAATATGCTGTTAACTTTTCTTATAAAAGTCTCATACCTTCCATTCTTCAGGCACTGTGACATCTGAAATGTTCAAGAAGATGTCCAACTCAGAAATCATCCAGCACCTAACAGAACAGTTCAATGAGGTGGAAGAAGAAAATCAGGAATATCTTGCCCCTCATATTTCAAAATACTTTCCCTTTCTGGTTCTGGGAAGTAGAATAGCTTTGAAAGGAGGAACTAAATATCTTGGAGAACAAATGGGACTAATCAGTATTATATAAATGGCTTTTAGAGTTGAAGATAGCAGGAAATGAGGAATAACAAAAATATATTTTTACTATATTAGTGGGTTTTAACATCCAAAAAACCTATGGTTTTGCAGACCAAGTAGTAAGTTACCTTTTTTTTTTTTATATCTGGTAATAATTTCCCTTCCTTTTCATAAACCCTTTCTCTAGGACTCAGGAGACTATCCTCTGACAGCTTCAGGTCCATCCTGGAAGAAGTTCCAAGGCTGCTTCTGTGAATTTGTTCAGACATTGGTCTATCAGTGCCAATACAGCTTCCTTTATGATGGCTTTCCTATGGACAACCTCATTTCCCTGCTCACTGGCCTCTCGGACTCCCAAGTTCGTGCCTTTCGTCACACTAGCACCCTTGCTGGTGAGTACTTATTTTCGTTTGTAAATGCTCTACTGGAAATTGATTGGATTTTCTTCTTCTTCTCTGCTGCCTGTTTCAAGATCATGCTACCTTTATACCTAAATCAGTCCAGTTTCTCACCAATGGAACTATAAAAAGAAGTGGGTCATGGTGAAAATTTCGAGAATTAATATCTTTCTCATAGCTCGTCTCTGGAAATATGCGAATATGAGAATATGAGAATTAAACGGAACCCAAAGAGTTTGGGAGTTAAAAAACCCACTCCCGGATAATCAGTTTTGTATTTTAGTGTTACCTGGCTTTACCCATTTTTATTGGCCTTTATTTCCTTCTTTTCTGAACTTGTCCTCCCTTCTCTGACTTAACCAGTGATTCCCAATCTTAATCTTGTTTTTCCTGACTCAAAGCCATGAAGTTAATGACCTCCCTGGTTAGGGTAGCCCTCCAACTGAGTCTGCACAAAGACAACAATCAGCGTCAGTATGAGGCTGAAAGAAACAAGGCACCAGAACTGAGAGCTCCTGAGCGCCTGGAGAGCTTGCTAGAGAAACGCAAAGAGGTGAGTTGTTTCCTGCCTCTACCTGCCTTCCTCCCCAGCTTCCAGCTATGGCTGCTGCTGCCCTGTCAGCTCCCAAGTGCTTCTTTGTAGTAAGGCACCAGCCCCCCAGCAACCTTTCAGATCATAAATAATAGAACCCAGCGATAGTTTAATAGATCCATCCTGTCAGAGGTCATGCTCACTTTGTTTCAGGCATGTGGGCCAAATAAATCATTTTTAACTTAGAGGAAATTTTAGCACTCTCTAGAATTCTCTTGCTTAGTTTCCATTGTGTACATTCATTATCAGAAGTGTTTTAAGTGCTATGACTTCGTCTTGTGCAAGGAGTTAAGTTTTGACTTTCTTGTATAGTATTCAGGTCACTGCTGCATGCTGTATAACTGACAGAGGAGGCCAAGTTTTCAATGAATGGAAGGGGCACAGACCTTCCAGTGGTTTAAATCCTGTTTCAATTAGCTACTGCCTCTATGACCTTATATATATAACTTTTCTAAGCTTCAGTTTTCTTTTCTTTGAAAAGGGAATAATTCTACTTTTGGTAAGGATTAAATGAGATGATGAATGAATCAACTAGCCTGTTACATAGTAGGTGCTTGCTTTGTTTTCTGTTAAACTTGCTGATCACCCAAGAGGATAAACAGTAATAAAATCTTTACACTGATTAAACCTTATGAGACTTACACATTATGAGACTTACTGTTAATTTACATGTATCTTAGACTCCCCTCACCATGTGTGACTGCATAAAATGACTTTTACCCTCACCAAAGATTTCTCCCATGCTAGATCATCAAAGAAAGCTTTCTAGTTCTCCCATTGTCTTTCATTTTCACTGTCAGTGTGATCCTAGATCCCTATGTACATTAGATCTGTCTGAGATCTTAAAAATTATGTACACTAGTGTGAATTGGTTTTTAGCTTCTCTAAGCTCTTGCCTCATCAGTCATCATTTCCCTTTTTGTCTTTAATCTCTCCTCTACTGTTTTCTTCCCTCCATTTATACATGTATATAGACCTTTTAATTGCACGTTTACTCTTGTCCTCTACATGCTAAGCGGTTTCTATCCATGCTTTTAGGTAGTGTTTTATTTCTACCATAATATCCAGATGAATCTCTTTTCTTACCTAACATCTAACCCCATTTTTCTTTAAAATTACTCTCTCCAAACCAGTGTGACTTTCTAATCCTTATTAGAGATTTCTCGATCTCCTTTAATTTCATACTGATAAAACTCCTTTTATCCTCCCTACCTTCAGTGAAATTTTTAAGTATTCAGAAAGTAGAAACAGATACTTTAAATATCAATATTTCACAATTTTACTTTATCTTTTTTCTCTTTTTTGCTATTTTTATAGTATATGAACATAATAGTATTTTCCAATTAAAGACTTAAATATGACTGCTGAAAAGTGGCATGTTCCTACATAACCCCAACACTATTTTCACATGCCAGAATATTAATGATTCCCTGATATTTTGTAATTCCAGTTCATATTTCAGTGTTTACACAATGCCCTGTGGAGCTGGTTAATTCCAAGCAGGATTTAATTGGGGATTATGCATTCCATTTGGTTGTTGTGTCTAAATCTCTTTTAATATTAGATGAAATTCCCATCTCTTTCCATTTCCCCCCAATATATATACATATATATTTTAAAGATTTATTTATTTATGCATACAGAACTGGGGTACAAGCCAGAGGTACAGGGGTGGTGAGAGGCTTTACCAGAGACAGAGTGGGGAGCAGGACAGGCAGATCCTGCTGAGGGGAGCAGCGGGCAGGTCAGGAGAGGTCTGACCATCTTTGGGGCTGAGGATGGAACTTGCACTGAAGTGGCTGCAACCAGCTTGCAGAGCTGCATCCTAACCCCTTGTCCTAACCTGTTGCACCACCAGGGAGGGCCCTTCCCCCAATATATTAATGTACTGAAGAGGAAGGGTCATTTGTCTTAAAGAATATTTCTTTATAATTCTGCTTCCTTCGTATTTGTTACGTATTATATCCAGAGTTTCTCAGTAGTGGTACCCTTGACAATGAAGGACTATCCTGATTTTATGGGATATTAGCATTCTTGGCCTTCACTCACTAGATGACAGTAGAGCCCACCCAGATATGGCAACCAAAAATATCCTAGACATTGTTGTTTATGGCCAATTATGCTCGCAGTTGAGAGCACTGAACTAATCACTTCGTTCTTTTTTCACTAGTTCTATGTTTTTTTAAAAAGATTTATTTATTTGTGCATACAGAACTGGGGTACAGGCCAGAGGCTCAGGGGCGGTGAGAGGCTTCACCAGAGACAGAGTGGGGAGCACAACAGCAGATCGACAAGTACACTGCTGAGGGGAGCAGCGGGCGGGTCAGGAGAGGTCTGCCACGCCATGTGGTCAATGTGGTCACCTCTGGGGCAGGCGAGAATCGAACTCATGCGGAAGTGGCTTTAGCTTCTTTAGCTGTGTTTTATCCCGCTGAGCCACCAGGGAGGGCCCACTAGTTCTATTTGTATAAAACAAACAGCATTTGTTGGGCCTCCCTGGTGGCCCTATCAAGCTGTCACCAGCTACTGCATCATGGCACAGCAAACCTCTCCAGTGTCCTCTGCTTGCTCCCCTCAGGAGTTTATTTCAGTAGATCTGCCTGTTCTGTTTCTCATTATATCTCTGGTGAATCCTTTCACCCCCTGCACCTCTGCCCATACCCCAGTTCTTCTATATATAAAGAAGTCTTTTTTAAAAATGCATTTGTTAACAATTCATCTTCCCAATTATAGTCAAAAACATTTGTAACTGCTAGCTAGAACTTCTGTGTAATGAGAGAGCCAAATAATCAGACAAAAGGAGATTATTTTTTCCAAAGAGAAATCTCTGAGGCATTAGTTGTATAACTTCTAAAATTTGGTTTAAAAGTGAACATAGAGGGTACCGAAAGTTCAATTCTGTTCTTTTATGAATAGAAAGTATGCATAAGTCAAACTTATTTATTGGGATCTCTGAGAGATTGACTGTTCCTCTCTGTCGTCCAGCTCCAAGAGCATCAAGAGGAGATTGAAGGGATGATGAATGCCCTTTTCAGGGGCGTCTTTGTACATCGGTACAGGTGAGTTAATACATTTCTCTTGTTGGAACAACTGGTCCGTGTTTATGGAGTCTGCACACGTAACAAAGTTCCTTCCTAGTCCTTACTTATTTGGTTAGTCCCAGAGCTGGAGCAAAAACTCGTAACAACAAATGTTTGAAGTTAGTAAAGCTTAGCTTATTCCCACCTACAGTAGGATCTTGTGAACTCCTCTGGGAGGAACTTAAAGAGGATAAGGCATTGCTGAATAGTAGTCTGTTTCAACTTTGCCCAAGACCTCCCCTCCCCCATCCTTTGGGTGGAGACTTAAGAGGACTAGAGCAGAGAGCCAAAGGCAGGGCTTTGTGAGGGATGCGTGTAGCGTGGAAAGCCTTTTTCCTAGCCTAACCTGTTATTTCACTGTGCTGAAGAAGGAAAGGCAGTTTTATATTGTTTACTGTACTGAAAAGAATTAAATCAAAAAGAATGTATTTGTTTCTCACTCTTACTTAGATTTCAATCTCTGCCTTTCCAGAACTTTCCAGCTGGTTTAATGTTTATTTGAAGTAAAATTAACACATGCATATCCACACACAGTTTGATAGTTAAATTAGCTTCCAAAAGCAGTTTCTGAAAGGGATGCAGAGGATAAATTTGTCCAGTACATGGCTGGTTCGACTATTTCATCAGCTGGTTAGAGTGAAAATAGTTACTATACACACACACACACACACACTGTACAATATATTTACTATGAGAATAGAAAAAACATGGAGATATCTGGAGGATCGAAAATGACTGTGGAGAGATGAAAAGAGTCCATTTATCTCTCTGCCCAGGGATGTCCTTCCTGAGATCCGTGCTATCTGCATTGAGGAAATTGGGTCTTGGATGCAGAGCTACAGTACCTCTTTCCTCACTGACAGCTACTTAAAATATATTGGCTGGACCCTGCATGATAAGGTGAGGAGGAGTGATTCTTTTTTCATTTTATCCTTCACTCTCTTCCCTGTCCTAGGATACTTAAGCTTTCTCTGTTACTTAGATGTTTAATTAGTTTAACCAGTGATCAGGCTATTGAATGTCAGAACTCCCACAAACATTGGGGAATGTAGAATAAAGTACAAAAGAGAAAAACATATCCAGGAGATAAAATACCTCAAAACCAGAGTACAGAGAAGAAAGACTTTCCCAATGAAAAGATAAAAATTTGGATGGACTGGTAATAGAAGTGCGGGGGTCATCACCAAAAGATCCATTTCATCGTGATTGCTGAACTCTGCCGTGAAATTTTGTTTTTTAAGAAGACAGTTGTTAATTGTCAGAGTTCTTGGACTAGAGGATATACAGGCTCACAATGAGTGGCCTGAAAGGGAGTGTGGAAGGTCAGAGATAATGAGTCAAGGAACAGTCAGCCATGTCTTCATTCTCTTCAATAGCATCGAGAAGTCCGTCTGAAGTGCCTAAAGGCTCTGAAAGGACTGTACAGCAACCGGGATCTGACTGCACGCCTGGAGCTCTTTACCAACCGCTTCAAGGTAACATTGTGATAGTGTTGTTGGGTTTGGCACCCATGGATCCTTTATCCCCCCACCTCAAGTTTTCACTTTTGTTGCTCTCATTTGTCTTTTAGCTACCCCTCTGCATCATCTTTCACACCCTCTTTTTAGGGGTCTGTAAAACTTTAAAGGAACTTGATGCTTGGGAATGGCTACCATGAGGTATCTCTTTTCTGCAGGACCGGATGGTTTCCATGGTCATGGACAAAGAGTACGATGTGGCAGTGGAGGCTGTCAGGTTACTGACACTTATACTTAGGTGAGCTCTGGGAAGTGGGGAGGAAGCCCACTTTTAGCTGTGCTGAAAGATAACATCCTTCTCCACCCACTCATTCTCCTTTTCTCTTGGCAGGAACATGGAAGGAATGCTGACAGATGCAGACTGTGAGAACATCTACCCAGTGGTCTATGCCTCGAACCGAGCCCTGGCTTCTGCTGCAGGGGAGTTTCTGTACTGGAAGTAAGTGGGCCTCATTCCTTCCTTTAATACTGTAGTATGTTTTTCCTCCCTCATGTGCACTGCTCTTCCTAAGGACTGCCCTTACCTATTAAAGTCTCTTGGTGTCTCCTTTTCAACTTTTTCAGACTTCCTTTAGCTCTACTCCTCTTTCCCCTTTATACTTTCCTTGAACTATTCCTTTCTCCATGGTGACTGTTCCTCTCTATTTCCTCCCCTTCTCTGTTTTACCAGACTATTCTACCCTGAGTGTGAGACAAAAACCATAGATGAAAGAGAGCGACGCCGCAGTCCACGTGCCCAAAGGACTTTCTTCCACCTTTTGCTGTCCTTCTTTGTGGAGAGTGAGGTGATGTATGGAAAGGAACAGTCTAGCTTTTGTGCATAAACCATGCAGGTAGTAAAGGCTGGAATCTGGCACTCCAGGAAACAATAACCTCCAGCATAACCACCTCCCAGAGTTTTTCATGTGGTTTTAGTATCTTACTATGTCCCTTCCTCCACAGCTTCATGACCATGCTGCTTACTTAGTAGACAGCCTGTGGGACTGTGCAGGGTCTCAGCTGAAGGACTGGGAGTGTCTGACAAGCTTGCTGCTAGAGAAGGACCAGAGTGAGTGTGGCATGGTAGTAAGGGGTGAGGGGAGGAAAGGAAATTTGCAGATTTCTTTACTAACTTGTAAGACTCATCAGTGTCATGGGCAGTGGGGGAGACTTGGAGGTGAGGGTGGCTAATTTATCATTCTATTTTTCATCCTGCCTACCCAGACTTGGGTGATGTTCAAGAAAGCACACTGGTAGAAATTCTTGTGTCCAGTGTCCGGCAAGCTTCAGAGGCTCACCCTCCTGTGGGTCGAGTCACTGGGAGGAAGGTATGACTTGAGGAGTGGGGTAGTTTGGTTGGCAATGTTAAAACCAGACAGTCCAGGCCCTCCCTGGTGGCGTAGTGGGTTAAAGCACAGCACTAAGAAACTAAAGCCACTTCAGCATGAGTTCGATCCCCACCTGGAGGCGACCCACATGGCACTGCAGACCTCTTCTGACCCGACCACTGCTCCCCTCAGCAGTGTACTTCATCAGTCTGCCTGTTCTGCTCCCCACTCTGTCTCTGGTGAATCTTCTCACCGCCCCTGCACCTCTGGCCTGTACCCCAGTTCTGTATGCACAAATAAATAAATCTTTAAAAAAAAAAACAAAACCAGACACTCCATCCTTAAGTTCAGTTATCCTTAAGCTGGGTTAAGTGCTCCTCCTGTCTCTCAGTTCTTTTACAGAATAAGTGAAATCTGTAGGGACCTGCTGAATTCTCCCTTCCTTCCTGAAGAAATATGATTGTGAAAGGGAGGATACACACACACACCCTCTAAACTCAGGTGTTTTTCCACATCTTTCCTCCAACTCCCAAATGACTCTTAATTCTAGGGCTTAACCCCTAAAGAGCGTAAGATGCAAACAGATGACAAGGTGAAGCTGACTGAACACCTCATCCCTCTTCTTCCCCAGCTTCTGGCCAAGGTACAACTACCCTTCCATATAGTATCTGGAAGGGGAATCGTTTCTATGAAGAATAAGAGTAATTTGCAGTGTATTAAGCTAATAAATCAGTCTTCTCTCAATCATCACAGTTCTCAGCCGATGCAGAGAAGGTTGCTCCCTTGCTCCAGCTTCTCAACTACTTTGACTTGAACATCTACTGTACCAGGCGCTTGGAGAAGGTGAGGAAGAAGCAAAGTATGTTTCCTATATCTTGCTGCTTCCCTGATAGGGCCCAAGGTTGTAACGCCAGTTTCTGGTTCTTCTCAAGCACCTAGGTTCTAGAAAAATCAGTAAGCTTTCTCTTTCTCAGGCTGTCTTATCCTTGAAGTCATAATACTTCAACCCTGCTTATCATCTCCCTGTCTGCTCCACTCCAAAAGAATTGTCCTCCCACCACTTCCCTCAGCACTTTCTTCTCTTATTTTGTTTCCACTCAGCATCTGGAACTGCTCTTGCAGCAGCTCCAGGAGGTGGTGGTGAAGCATGCGGAGCCAGCAGTGCTGGAGGCTGGAGCTCATGCCCTCTATTTGCTCTGTAATCCTGAGTTCACTTTCTTCAGTCGGGTAGACTTTGCCCGCAGCCAACTGGTGGATCTTCTGACTGACCGCTTCCAGCAAGAACTTGAAGAGCTGTTACAGGTAGAATTAGGGCTGAATGATGAGACGCTCCAAATTGAAGCCATACAATGGGGAGCGCGGGAAAGCCCACTGTGGCCCTTCTTTCTTCCTCAGTCATCCTTCCTAGATGAGGATGAGGTATATAGTCTGGCAGCCACTCTGAAGCGCCTCTCTGCCTTCTACAAGTGAGCAGCTACCTCCTTCCCCCTTTCCTTTTTCTTTGTTACCTGTAAGGTTGTTTCCTCTAGTTCTGTTCCATTGTAATGTTTTTCTTCTTCCCAAGTGCTCATGACCTAACTCGCTGGGAACTCTATGAGCCTTGCTGTCGACTCCTCCAGAAGGCTGTGGACACAGGAGAGGTACCTTACCAGGCAAGTAGATAAGTTGAAGACATGGAGGCAAGAGAGGCATCTGTAAGGGTCCTATGACCTGGGTGGCCAGCTCTTCCTGGAACCCCAGTCTCTGAGCTGTTAACACAAGAGAGGGAGATCATAGGTGTGCTGTTCCTTCCATTCTGTTCTTAGAAGGTACAGTGTACTTTCCAGTGTCTGAAAGCAGCATCTTCCCTGCTTTCCTGACAGGATAATACTGGAGACTTCAAATAAGTGTGAAGTATGGTCTTCTCTGAAGATTGTCGAAAAGAACTAGAATCAGTTCTTTTCTACCAGAAAAGGAATTGGATTTCCCCAGTCTCACTTTTTCTCTTTACTGTTTGTGGGTGGGTCTGTGCACATGCACACCTGTCTCTCCTTCTCCCTCCCTGTCTTCCTCTCATTCTCTTTTTTCACCCCTCACTTATCTGACATTTGGTTGTTAACAGGTGACATTACCAGCCTTGACACTTGTCTATTTTTCCATTCTCTGGTCGCTAACCCACATTTCTGGATCAGATGCTTCCCAGGTAAATGTGGGTATGAGTAGGGGAATGAGGAAGGGGGAGCCACTGTTTTCATTCTTTCCCCTTACGTCATTGTCTCCACAGAAGCAACTGTTGAGTTTGAAGGGCAGAATGATGGCCTTCTGTGAGTTGTGCCAGAGCTGCCTCTCAGATGTGAATCCTGAGATCCAGGAGCAGGTACATGTTACTCAAGGGAGTCGTCTTCCCCCCATGGCCTGAGGAAACCTATTCTATAGCTATGTGATTCCTATCTTGGCCAGTATCTGACTTTTATAAGCACCCTTTTTCTCCCCAACAGGCTTTTGTCTTATTAAGTGATCTGCTTCTCATCTTCAGCCCTCAGATGATTGTAGGGGGACGTGATTTCCTTAGGCCTCTTGTCTTTTTTCCTGAAGCCACTCTGCAGTCTGAGCTAGCCAGCTTCCTCATGGACCACGTCTTCATCCAGCCCGGCGAACTGGGCAGTGGTATAGGGACCATATCTGGGCTCAGAATAGTCTGGGACTTGGGCAGGATATAGGGCAGGGGCCCTAAATCTGTGATTCTGATTTTTTCTGCATTTGGTATCTGGCAGGTCATTCCCAGGAGGATCATTTACAGATAGAGCAACTGCACCAGCGGCGCCGCCTTCTGGCTGGCTTCTGCAAACTATTACTTTATGGGGTGCTGGAGATGGACGCTGCCTCAGATGTTTTCAAACACTACAACAAGGTACAGCCACACACAACCTAGACTTCAGATGCTATAACACTACAGAAAGGACGGTGGGGGAGACAAGAGCATTGGGCTTAAAGGAGGAAGAGGAGGGAAAAGGCAACAGGAGTTTATTATAAAGGGACAAAGTGATTTCGTAGCAAATGATTATAGGGGAGAAACTGTTAAGAGAAACAAATTGTTTGAAGGGGAAATAACCTTATTCTTTTGCACATATATATACATGCATATTTTACCTATTGTGAAGCCCAGTCTATAGAACAGGGTAATGTAAGAGAAAAAAATAAGAATGGAAAGGCGTTCAGACCTCACAAGAGACGGGGGTATGTACTTTGATTTTCCCAGCCTGCCGTTATGTTAATTCTGTTCACTGAGTATCTGTTACATGCCACGCACCATTGCAGGCACTACAGACACTTAAGAACAAAGACAAATGTCCCTGCTTCGGGGCACATCCGTTCTAGTTGGGGCGAGACAAACAGCAGTGGCCTTGGTGCTGGAGGAGTGTGGGACATTGGCAGTCTTTCTCTAAGAGGCAGGCTCACAACAGGATTTCTTCCATTTTCCTAAATGCTCATTTCTTTTGGGGTATGCACATACGACTAGCGATGATCAGATCTTAGTCTGAGTTGTTTCGTGCTTAGATTCCTGTTTGCCTACTGCAAACACTTTTGGAAGGAGACATAATTAGGGAAGGAAAAAACAAAACAGTCTTCCCTATCATCAGACCTTTTCTCAATTTCTTCTCCCTCAGTTCTACAATGACTATGGTGATATTATCAAGGAGACATTAACTAGAGCCAGGCAGATTGACCGAGGTCATTGTTCGAGAATCCTGCTGTTGAGCCTCAAGCAGGTATTCCCTTCTGCCTGGAGTTCCTGAGATCCATGCCACACCCTCCCTGTGGACATTCTGTCAAACATTCTGTCTTCCACTAGCCACTTAGTCAGGGAGGTCTGTAAGAACAGGGATTTTATTTTTTATCTTGACTCTTACTTTATATGACAGTCTCTTTCATAATTAGTAGATCTATAGAAGGTCTTTTTTAACTGACTTGGGTAGTTTCCACCTTAACTCCAGAGAAATTCAGCTGTCAGGATATGGGGGCACCAACAATAAAATGGTAAAGAACTTTTAATTTTCTTTGTCTGTTCTCTCAACCTCCTTCAATTACTATAGACTTTTTAAGTTTGTCATTAGAAAGCAGGGATAAGGGGCAGTTTCTTGGGAGAATAGAAGCAGATGGTATCCCAATTCTTTCAGAATTTCTGGGAAGAGAAGGAAACTTTACATTTCTCTATTTCCACTTGTCCCTCTCTTTCCCAAATGTGCCCTGTCTCTTGGACAGTTATACACAGAACTGCTGCAGGAACAGGGGCCCCAGGGCCTTAATGAGCTTCCAGCCTTCATTGAAATGAGGGACTTGGCCCGGAGATTTGCCTTGAGCTTTGGACCCCAGCAGCTGCAGAACCGTGACTTTGTGGTCATGTTACACAAGTAAGTACTAGATGAAGTGAAGTTGCTGAGCCAGAGGCTGCAAGGAGAGCTAGGCATGAGCTCTTTGGGGAAGATAAGCATGTTCAGATACAAAATTTGGTTGGTGAATGGCTGTGCTCTGGGAGACACTTGGGGGCAGGGGAGGCTGCACCGGGACAGATGCCTCAATCCTGGAAGGAAGTGGAAGAGGACTGACTAGCTTCTTAAATGGTTTTGATCTATCAAGGGAAGGCATCAAGTTCTCCTTATCTGAGCTGCCTCCAGCTGGCTCATCTGACCAGCCCCCAAATCTGGCATTCCTGGAGCTCCTTTCAGAGTTTTCCCCACGACTTTTCCATAAGGACAAGCAGCTACTGTAAGTGAGTGGGTGGTAGCTAAAGATGTGGATTAGGGAAAAAGGGCATGGTGAGTGCCCAGTGACCACTTCAGCCTCTTCGTCCCACCCCTTTCTCAGACTCTCCTACCTAGAGAAGTGTCTGCAGCATGTCTCCCAGACACCTGGCCACCCCTGGGGTCCAGTCACCACCTACTGCCATTCCCTTAGCCCTGTAGAGAGCACAGCAGAGGCCATCCCTCAGGGCCATCCGCGCCCTAAGAAGAGGCGCGTTGAAGGTACAGTGCTCTGTATATGTGTTTTGGGTATATATGTTTTGTGAAAAATCAAGTAGGAAATAATTAAAAACCAAAGATCTAAGAAATGTGTACAGTTAGGTTACCCTACACGTTTAAATTTTATTTTTTAATTTAATCATAAGATCTTACAAATCACGAGGTTTATGTTTTAGTATAAATTTTCTTTTGAACATTTAAAAATACTAGTTTTTATCATTCTCCCCATCCTTCCAGCATAGGTAGTATCACTATTTGACTTCCTCTCTTTGGATTTGCTACTTCTGGACATTTCATATAAGTGGAACCTTGCAAGTGTGGCCTGAGTATATCTAACTCTTTTCACTTAACATAATTGTTTTCAATATTCACTCATTCTTTAGCATGTGTATCACATAAATTTTATGGTCAGATAATACTTTATTATATGAATATACCACATTGGTTGATTGATAGTTAGGTTTCTACTTTTTGACAGTAGTGAACCATGTTGCATGGATGTTTTCAATTCTCTTGAGATAGAGCAAGGAATGAAATTCCTGGATCATATGGTAACTTTGCAGTCAATATTTGGAGGAACTATCAAACCATTTTTCCAAAATGCCTACTTCTTTTTACAACCCTAGCAACAATGTGTGATGATTCAGATCTTCCACGTGTGTGCGAACACTTGTTATTGTTTGGATTTTTAATTTTATCCATCTCCTGGTGTTGGTGAATTGGTATTTCATTGTGGTATAAATTTGTGTTCTCAAATACATAATTTGTGTATATTTTCATTGTTGACTGTTTGTAATATCTTCTTTGGGGATTTTTCTGTTACTCTTTGCTCCTCTTTAAATTGGGTTGTCTTTTGTTGAGTTACAGTAGTTATTTGTATATTAGGTATAAATACTTCGCCGGCTATGTGACATACACAAAATTTCCCCCTTCTTGTCTCTTCATTTTTTTGGTGGTGTCCTTTTAACACAAGTTCTTCATTTTGGTGAAACCCAACTTATTTATTTCATGTTGTTTGTGTTCTTGGTGTCATATCTTAAGAAATCTTCACCTAATCCAAGGTTTGCCTAAACAGAGGGCTTTTAAAGGTAGGCTAAACTGAAGAGATAGGTTTCGTTATTCATTCACTAGACATTATTATGCACCATGTACTCAGTCTACAGCATGGGGGAAAGACAGATGTGTCTTTAGAGAGTGTCAGGTGGTGATGATACATTCTAGGGGGGAAACATGGGAGACAACAAGGGAATACTGTTGAGGTGAGAATTGTGGTTTCAAGTGGTGTCATCAGAAGGAAACCTCACAGAAAATGTGAGTGTTGGGCAAAAAACTGGATGTGGGATGTAAGACAGAGAGGAACTGAGGGTGACTTAATGGTTTTGACCTAACAACTGGAAGGATGGCGTTAGCTTCAACTGAGGTGAGGAAAGTGGTGAGTGAGACAGTCAGGGCTTTGGTATTACCCTGGGTAGTGTAGTTGGAGACATTGGACAGACAACTGTGGTAGGAATATATGTTCACCTACCACTCTATCTGTGAGTTACATGCTTGCATTTATTTCCATCTTGTTTTCTGGTCTATAATAAAGTTTCTTGGATAAATCCTCGATATAATTCTGTAGGTCTTACATTTTAGTATAGGGCTATCCATTAATATGGAGGTCATGCTCATTTTTTAGTCTGAACATAATGAGGCCATATAAATTTTCCATTCTCTTCATTCTTTTCCTTACAAAATCTTGAACAGGTCAATGAAAAAATAAAAACATCTGTGGCAGTACATGGGTCTACAGTTAATATATGCATCTGCTTCTTGACAGGCTCTTCCAAACAACATGGAGAGGACATCTCTTCACCCCAGGAAGAAAGCCTCCAGCTGAACAGCATCCCACCCACACCCACCCTCACCTCTACAGCTGTGAAGAGTAGGCAGCCCCTGGCAGGGTTGGAAGAGATGGAAGAAGATAGCTCAGAATCAGAGTCTGCCCAGAGGTGAGGGCCACTGGCAGAATCTGAGGGCTGTTTCTCAATTTGGAATCTTGCATTCTCCTTGCTGTTTGTGTTCTGTTGTTCCCTTTTGCTACACTCCTTCATCTTGAGGTCATATCCAGTTTTCCCCTTAACTTTGAATTTTCTCTGTACTAAGTTGATTTCCCCCTTCCCCTTTTAATGCCCTTCATCTCCCCTTTTTCACCCTTTACTTTTATACTTTATTTCATTCCAAGTAGCCAGCACCTTTCAGGCACCCAGAGGTCAAGAGTCTCAAGTCCACAGCATTTCCAGACTCCACTCAACCCTTCAGCTCCTGGTCTGGGCAACCGACTAACCCGGTGAGCTTTCTTCTTCACCTGCTGTCTTCACCTCAGGCCTCCCACCCACTCTGAAGGGATTCTCCCCTTATCTACTGCTGCTTGCCTGGTGCTTTGGGGGCTTGTTTTAACCACAGAACACTTGCAGGGTAAGTGGAGCCCTAGTCTGTAAACTGATAGAACTAGAGCTGCTCTCACTAAAGCAGCAGTGGGACCCAAGATCCCTGCTCTCCCTGCTGCCATTCTTGAGGCCTCTGAGAAACTCAGGGCTCCTTAAACAACAGTTTAAGGATCACTGTAATCACTCTGCCAGACTCAGCCTTATGGAAGAGGACGAAGAAGAGGATATTCACACAGAGTCGAGTGAAGGATGGCAAGTCACACGCAAGGTGAGTGTTTACCCTCAAGAACCAGAAGCAGATGTTAGAAAGAAATGAGTGATTCTTCTCTGTCAGTAGTGAGGGTGACCTCATCTGTGAAAGCTGTTTGAAAGAATTAAAGTGGGATGTTTGCAAGTTACTATGCACTTCTGTAAAACTTCCATTTAAAGGAATAATAAGATGTTTAAAATATCAAAAAGGTTTGAAATTACATTCCTCCTCATAAGTTTGCATATCTAAATCTCCTAAGAATTGAAAGAAACCCTAGAATTAGAGATGGAGGGGACATTAAGCCCCACCTTACAGCCTGACCAGTCTCTGCAACACACATTCACAGCTTTTTCTGTCTCCCCAGAGGGCTGTCCCACTCTTCTCCCCTTCCTACTCTCACTGACCTGAGGCAGGAAAACATGACATTCAAGTGCAGTGACTTGAATTTGAGTCTTCAGCCCCACCAGTGTCAGGTTAGCTCCATGGACCTCTCAGGTGCTCTGAAAACCGTGTTTTCTAAGATTTTTTAGGGGATTGACATTGGCTTACAGCAGTGTATATGATTTAGAGATAATATGTTTATGCCTCTTCAGATGATGCTACAATACCACACCTACCCATTATCACCCACTGTAGACCACTGGGCTCCTTCTTTGATCTCTGCCTCACACCCTCCTTTTTAGTATCCTCAATTTTACATCATTTTTCTAGGATTTGTTTTGGTTTAATTTTATCTCTTCCTTAGTTTTGCCTCTGGTGTTTGTCTTTCCTTCTGAATTATCTCACTTTAATCCCTTACAGTTTGATCTGTGTTGTCGAAAATGGCAAGATTTCATTTCATCTTCTGGCTGAGTAGCATTCCACATGGGCCTCGCCACATCTTTATTCACTCATCTGTTGTTGAGTACTTAGTCAACCTCCTCTACTTTCAAAAGGAGCTTTTATGTGAACTACAAATGATGGCACCTTATAGGCAGAAAAGGGTTATATCTGCTGCTGTTTAAGTTAAAGCTCAAAATGTAGCAGGAGAATGGCAGCCTTGTGCCCAGAAGACAAACCTGACAATGAAAACTTCAAACCAGAGACTAGAGAGCAACTCCTTAGAATGAGGAGAAAATCCAGTTCTTTGGCCTCAAGCCAAAATCTAGGGGACTCAGTTGGCAGACCAGGAACTTCTCTGATGGCTCTGGGAAGTCTAGGCCTAAGCCTCCGTCTACCCTGCCTTGGCTGACCTTCCTTCCCTTACTGCTGCAGTACATAGTGCCCTGTATTTGTCACTATAAGACTCGCAGGGGACTTTATTGTGTGTGATGTGTTGGGAGTGGGAGAAGACCTTTCTGACTTTTGACCTCTTTGTCTAGCAACTGAGTGGCCAGTCTTCTCCCAGTGAGCATGGCCTAGACCTCTTAGATTCTACAGAACTGAATATTGAGGTGAGTGTCCCCAATATAGACTGTGAAGGCAAGTTAAGAGGAGTCGGGCATCTCTGGGAGATGCTGGTCGTGTACCTGTGAAATACCAGGAAAGGAAGGCCCCGGCCCCTGAACCCTGCCTGGTGCCCCACGGCCCACCTCCCCACTGTCTGCAGAGCAGTGGGAGTAATTCTTGGGCAAGTGGGAGGAGTTAGAATTGGAAGATCTGCAGTCTTCACTTTGTCCTTTGGTCTGTTATTATATCTTTTTTCACTTTTTTCATCCAGGATTTCTGACAGAACAGTGTGCTGCTCCCCATCTCCTCTCCCCACTTTTATGACAGGACTACTCAGAGAAGAAAAACAGAGCCAAAGGAACCATTGCTTCCATGTCCCAACCCTGGTCTCTGAAGGAAGGAAGTAGAGGGCTTGCCTTCCTAACCTAACCATCTCTGGGATTGAGAATGAGTTAGTTCCCCCCACCCAACACTCCGCCCCCATTCTGCCTGAGGAGCTATGGCTCCCTCCCTCTGATTGAGCAGAGAGCCTATTTCCTGCTGTGTTTGGAGGGGTGGGGACATCATTTGACATTGCAGGGGGTACTGCCTCCCTGTGTTGAATATAAAGAACCCAGTATTTTCCTATATGTTTAAGACATTTTCCCAGCCTGCTCTGTGCCAGATATTTAGCTCAATAAACATGTTGAACATCAGCTGGTTCTCAGGGTGTGGTCTGAGATTGTTCACCTGATGGGGAGTCAGGTTCTTTGCTGGTATCTTAAGCAGCACTGCCTGGCCCGGTGGCCTACTGCCACACAGTGCCACCCTAGATGCTGTATCTACTGGCCCTTGCAGCTATATTGCTGAGTAACTGGGAGACTGGGTGGGACAGAGGCTTCAGGGAAACCAGGCCACCTTTGAGAAGTGTATCTACTGGAGACACTTGGGCCTGAGGAGAGAAGGTACTATTCTGGTCAGATGCTTCTCCCTCCTCTTCTCAGGCCAGGCCAGACCACATGTGCTGGCAGCTGTCTCACAAGCGTTCTCTACAGGGGCGATTTCATGCTTCTGTCCTCAGTGCCATCACCATCTCTCACCTGCACTGCCCTAGAACCACCTCTGGAAACTCTTGACTTGTTTGTTCTTGTTCTACCTCTGAGAGCCACCCACACCTCTGCTCTTTTCCCGCTGACAGCAATCCCTTGCATGACAGTGATTGTCACTTTTCAGGCTGCTTTGAAAAAGTTGACTACTATTGTGGTCTTCTGTGGTCTGAGAAAAGCTTTGACCTCTCCTTTGAGAAAGGAGTTCCAGTTCATCCCCCTTCTGGGCATCTGCTGTTATTTCAGGTTCTCTCTGTATTCTTGGAGGCTAAACCCAGCCATCCTGCTCATGGTTGGACGGAAGTCACTATAACTGTTATGATCAGATCATGCCAAACATGCATTTCTTCCTTTCACCTCCCTCCCAGGTGAAAACTGGAAGCTTTGGAGTGTTTTCAGGAAGGCAGCCTGCCTGTGTTGCTCATGGCAGCAGACTGGTCCGGTGAGCTCCAGCCTCTCAGGCGGGGCAGCTCCACGGAGAGTCTGAAGACCTCATCTCACTGAGGTGAAGATACACCCATTCGCTAAGGATCCAGGGGCAAAAAGATTCCTGAGTGGTCTTTAGATCAGCCAAGCGGAGGGTATTTTCTAACATTAGGAGAGAAAACTTCTGTATAAATGACATCTTTATGTTAGCCACATAGGCCAGTGACAGTGACTGGGGAGACTGAGCCCCTAGCTGAGAATCTCTACGTGGTTTATGCCATGCTTCCTAATTCTTTGACTCACTTTATTGAGAGGTTGATCTAGGTTCTCCTCCCTTGACCATGGACTGTTGGATTCTTTGAGTCATAAAAAAATGAGGGAGTGATGCTGTGTGCCAGTTTTCCAGTCAGGATGTTAGAAACTCGGTTTCCATGTTTCTTGGGTGTGTATTACTCTTGGACCACAGTTAACCGTGCTGTGGGAAGGCCTCCAGCAGCTGCTTTGGAAGCTCAGTGTAGGTATCTGCCCCGCAGCCCTAACTGTGTTCTGAGCCTGCTTCCAGCATCAGCTACCACCATGTTGCAGGGGCAAGTCAGATGACTTAGCACCCAGCTTTCTGTCTTCCAACTGAGGCACCAGGGGTCAAGGAACAGTGCTGTCCTTTTCCAGTTCCTGACCCAGAGTCCATAATATGATGCAGCAGTTAAGTTTGGGTTGCTTTGTAACAAAAGGAACCTTAAAATCTCCCTCGTGGTGCAGAGGTTAAAGTCTTACTGTCAAGCTATTTCTGGTCACTCCATTGTGGTCACTATCTCTGGTCACAAGCTACCTTTGATATGCGGCCAGGGAGCTGACTCACATGTCTCACCTGCTGCTACATACACTTAGTGGTATATTTCAGTGGATCCACCTGTTCTGCTCCCCACTCTGTCTCTGGTGAATCCTCTCAGTCTACCCCTCACACCTACGTGCCAGACTGCTATGCATAAATAAATAAAATAAATCTTAAAGAAAAAGACTCCTAACAGTTTAAACATCATTATCAGCTTGAAAAATTTATTATCTAAACATTAACATACATTAAAAACATAATGGTTAAACTAATGATGAAATAAATGCTTTAAAATATTTTATTAGCTACAGAACAAAATACCATTGTTCTCTAAAAGATATTTTGTTGAGAGATGTATTGTTTTTTAAAGATTTATTCATGCATACAAGAACTGGGGTACAGGCCGGAGGTGTGGGGGGTGAGAAGATTCACCAGAGACAGAATGAGGAGTAGAACAGGCAGATGTACTGAAATACACTGCTGAGGGGAGCAGCGGGTGAGACAGGAGAAGTCTGCTGTGTGTGGGTCACTCCCTGGCTGGGTCTTAGTGTTGATAGTGCTGAGACTTAACCCTAGGCCCCCAGGGAGGCCCCTGATAGTTAATCGTAATGGCCTTCATAAAACAAAGTAATGCTCAAACATGTAAGCACAAATGAAATAGATGTTTTGGCTGCATTTACCACTTTTTAATAGTTGAGTTCAAAATCCACTGAAATTCATATTTTGGAAGTCATGTAAACAGGTCAAAGAGATCCCCACATATAAACGGCATTTTTAGAGGGGATATGCAGTTTAGACCACAAAACCACTACATCCTGTAGCATGTAAATTGCATTCTGTCATAACCAGTGATGGGTTTGTTATCTTAAGGATACTAGAGGTGAACTATGACATTTACCATGTCACCTAGTGATGGTTCTTTATTTTTTTAAAGATTTATTTATTCATACAGAACTGGGGTACAGGCCAGAAATGTGGAGGGTGAGAGGATTCACCAGGGACAGAGTGGGGAGCAGAACAGGCAGAGTGACAAAGTACACTCCTGAGGGGAGCAGCGGGCGGGTCAGGAGAGGTCTGCTGCGCCATGTGGATCTCCCCTGGGCAGGCAGGGATCGAACTCATGTGGAAGTGGCTTAAGCTTCTTGGTGCAGTGCTCTAACCCGCTGCGCCACCAGGGAGGGCCCGGTTCTTTATTTTTTAATCTAAAAAAATTAGTAATATTCCTTGTCTTTCCTGGCTGACCCCAGTGGCTATTTCGTGTCCCACAGAGGATTCACACGCCTCACATTGACATCCACAGACAGGAAGGTTCTGTGCCCTTGCAAGCAGAGTGAGGTCTGTGGGCTTGGTCAGCAGCAACTCCCACAGGCCAGGCCCAGGTCAGCTCAGGTAGAGGAGGTGGAGCCTCTGCAGGTGCAGAACCTCGCCCCTTGACACCCTGCCTCCCAGGGGCCGGCACGACTGTGCATAACCTGTTCGCTCACTCCTGAATAATTGCTTTTACATTATCTTAAATAATGTTCAATAAATGTTTTCTTTTTTAACCCATGTTATGATCATGAGTTCTGCTGAAAGGTAAGTTTGGTATTTGGCCCTAAATTGTTAAGAGGCTTTGTCCAGATTGCTGAGAAAAGACTGCAGCTGTCCTTTGAACTGTGACCTGGGGCTTATAAGATGCTAGATGATAGAGGTTGATGTGGTGAGATCAGGGGAAGGGTTATTTTCACACAGAGACATGTCAAATCTTCCTTGATCCCCATACTTCCTTAGGGATCAGTAGAACATCACCATCCTAGAAGGATCCACAAAAACTGGTCCCTGTTGTGCACAGCTTCCCTGAAAACCCTGACTCTGTGTTGAGTCCAGTAGCTGGAGAAATAAGCATCAGGTGTGGTCAACAGGAGCAGAGAAATAGGAAAGTGCAAATCACCACTTGTTTTTCATCTAAAATGATGAGATTGACAATTATTTTAAAAGATTTGTTTACACATATAAGAACCGGGTTACAGACCAGAGGTGCGGGGATGGGTGGGTGAGTGGATTCACCAGAGACAGAGTGGGGAGCAGAACAGGCAGATAGACAAGTACACTGTCGAGGGGAGCAGCGGATGAGACAGGAGAGGTCTGCTGTGCTGCGTGGGTCAGCTCCCAGGCCGGGCATTGAGAGATGGAACTCGTGCTATGGTGGCTGCAGAGAACTTCATAGTGCTGAGATGTAATTCCTTGTACCACCAGAGATGCCCCCGAGACTGACAATTTTAACCTCACAAAAGTTCTCTGGGAGGCCCTCCTTGGTGGCGCAGCAGGTTAAAGCACAGCACTGAGAAGCTAAAGCCACTTCTGCATGAGTTCGATTCCCGCCTGCCCCGGAGGTGACCACGTGCTGTAGCAGATCTCTCCTGACCTGCCCACTCCTCCCCTCAGCAGTGTACTTGTCGATCTGCTGTTCTGCTCCCCACTCTGTCTCTGGTGAAGCCTCTCACCGCCCCTGAGCCTCTGGCCTGTACCCCAGTTCTGTATGCACAAATAAATCTTTAAAAAAAAAAAAGTTCTCTGGGAACCTAGAGAAGACCTCAGGGTGGAGGAGCAGCAAACCACAAGGAAAGTGTATTCAATTTGACTCAGTAGATTGGAGCCAGGGAAGGTTTGGTGATGCAGGTAGAAGGTGAAAGCATCTGTGAGGCTGCGCTGCTGTGCAGGGGAGTAGCAGGGCGAGCAGCTAGGGCTGGGAGCTGAGCAGCTTCTCTGGGGAGGGCAGGAGCATGGCTGGTTTTGTACAAAATGCTTGTAATTCAATTTACATTTGTTCTCTGTGTGGGTGAGACTGCTTAACACTGTGGTTAATAGTGTGGGTTCTAGAGCTGAAGTTCTGTTGGATCTCAAATTCTTGTGACCCTGGGAAGTGATTTCCCTCATAAGGAGATTTGTAAGTGTGGAGCTAAATACACATGTCACTCAGAGCAAATTTCACACATGACCTACACTCAGAAGTTACCTCTTACTGGTTATATTACTTTAATACAGGAACAGAAGTGGCTTTTTTCACAGCATTTAAAATACACATAAATAAGCAGTAGTTACACGCCTCGCGCTACAAATTCAGATGAGGACTGTTCTGTAGAAGGATGGTCATCAATATCCAAGGGGGCTGAGTCACGCCTGGGGGAGGCCATGCCCACGCCACTTTCCCTCATCTGTCGGCAGTGCAGCAGGCCATGATGGAGCTGCTTTGGGAGGTCAGCAGCTTCGAGTCAGCAGAGAGATGAGATTGTGGCCCCGGTTCAAACCCACATTGGCCTAATTTTAGAGACTGACTAGAATTTTTCATAGCAGGAGGAGTTGGTGTGGCTCCAGGGATTTCATCAAGACATGTCAGAGCAGGAGATGGCCATTACCAGACCTGTGTCATCTAGCCTGTACCTCCAGGTCAAAAGGAAGAGGCCACCAGTATGGGCCTGATGATGCAGGATTCATCTTGCTCAGCTTAACAACCTGTTGTGAATCTGGGGCTCAAAATTCAGGAAACTGTTTAGAAAGAGCCACGAAAGTTCTGAGAAAGGACCAGGACCCTCTCAAACATCAAAAGTATTCGAATATGCAACATTGAAAAGGAATAAGCAAATCAGGGGATCAATTAGAATCTGGAAGTAGATCTATTGGTAAGAATCTATAATCAAGATCCATTTCAAAACAGTAAGGAAGAGACTAGTCAATAAATGATTTGGGGACACTTGGCCAAACTATATAACATTATTATAACTTGATCTTCCTAAACAACATATGAAGCCCAGAAAGAGATTGACAATTTTCACCTCATGAAAATTAAAATGGGGAGGGGAGGGAGAGAGGAGTGAGCAGGCTGCAAAAGGAAAATGTGGATGTTTTCTAGTCTCCATTGTTGACTCCTTTGCAATGAGAATTTGCTCAGGATACAGCAGGGCTCCCGAATTTGAAGAAAAAAAAATGGGAAATATTGGTGAGGATTTCACTTGGTGCCACAGCTATTAACCCATGGCTCACTGTATGTGGCACTCCCCTATGCACCTGGTAGGGTGAAAAAAAGACAGCCCTCCCCACAGGGCCCGGCATCAGCCTGCAGGACCAGCTGGCCGGCAGCCACCACCCAGGGCAGCCGTAGTCGGGACAGTTCCTGGTGTGGTGGGACCTTAACTAGGCATGGCAAAGTGGGGAGCATTTCACTCAAATGGTGGGAGTGAAGAGTCTCCCAAGCTAGGGAGACAGGCCAGCAGCCCCAGGTGCCATGGCTACTCTGGCCACCGCATGACCTGTCCTGTTGGGATCAGTGGAGAGACCCAAGGGAGTGGTGATGAGAGCTGGTCAGTCAGGCTTGAAGGTTGGTACATCGGGCCTGCAGGTGAGAGAACGCTGAGTGGCTGGGAGCCAGGACTGATTGCCCTGGAGCCCACTCACCTGGCTCAAGGGAGGATGAGGTGCAGAGCTTGCCCAACAGACCAACAGGTGTATGGCTACACAGAGACTAAACTTGGGGAACTGGCAGACCACCCCAGGTCCTTAGCAGGAAATTACAAAACTGGGCTAGCTCTTAGGTGGCCCCTTTGCTGGGCTCAGAACTTTCTTCTGGAGAACCCTGCCCCCTCCAGAGGGTAGGAGATTTTTCTGGGGCCTCTCTTCCTTCCCTTCCCCGGCTTGGGCTGCCCAGCTTAGTGCCCACGACAGGGTGGAGGAAGGCACCTGAGCCCGCCCTGCTGACAATGAAGCACCATCTTGGGAACTGCAAAACCTCGTCACTGGCATTAAGTGCCTGCCTTCTCCGCACAGAGACTGAGGGAGGAAGTGGGGCGGAGAGGCTGCTCCCCAGCCTGCTCACACAAAACTTCCTGCAATGAGAGCAGAAGCACAGGCACTGTTCCCACTGCGACAGCCCCCGGAGCCTGGGCCCCAGGGTGGCCATGTGCGGGGCCCCCGCCCCGGTCCTGCTCTTGGCCCTGTTGACACTCTGCATCACTGCGGGTGAGTGGGGAGGCCAGGGCTGCACGGAGCCCAGCAGGAGGGCAGGGGGCAGCTGGGGCCTGGCACTTTCCACCTCTGTTTTCTTCAGGGGCCCCTGAGGTGTGGGTGCAAGTTCAGATGGAGGATACCAACTCCCTGTCCTTCACCATCCGCTGTGGATTCCTGGGATCTGGCTCCATCTCCCTGGCAACTGTGAACTCTGGGGACCCTGAGGATGCTGAGGGGACTCTGCTGGCTGTGTTGCACCCAGAACTGGGCACCGAGCTGCATCCCCCTACCCGTAAAGCCCTCTGGGAAACCAGAACCAGCATCCTTCTCATCCTGGAAGAGCCTGAGGGGAGAAGCTTCTATCCCAATACAACCTTCTGCTGCAAGTTTATTTCCTACCCTGAAGGCTCCCAGAAGGCCTGTGAAACGCTCCCGTTCAGCAAGGACAAAGGTGGGGCTGCTGAGGACTGGGGACCCAGAAGGGCTGGGAGGGAGTCGGCGGCACTGGCCACCCTCTGTACCTCTGCACACAGGAAATCTGGCCCCTGAGGCCGTGTCCATGCTGCGGGCAGACCTGGCTGGGATCGCCGGGGCCTCCGCCATCATCCTCTTGGGCTGCATCTATCTCCTCTACCTCCTGCATCGGCAGCGGCAATGGTGAGATCTCGCCCCTCCCAGGCCCAGTTGAAACCCCTCCACTGGGCTGGCCCCTGCTTTGCCTCTGATCCTCCCAACCCTCCCAGGTCTGCCATGAAGCTTCAGCCAGCCCACAGCAGCGCCCTGACCCAGACAAGAGCAAGGGTGAGGACTGGGGGATCTTGGTGGAGCAGGAATGGAGTGGGCTGCCGCTGGGGCTGCCGTGAAGTGGAGCTCACTCGGGCCTTCTCCCCCACCCCCCCTGCAGATGGTCAGCCAAGCCTCCCTTGCTTCCCTTCACACCCCCTACGCCACTGTCAGCAACAACTACGTTTACCCACCAACTATGGACACAGTCCCCCTGCCCCAACTGCTGTCCTGGGGTCAAGGGCACGCCAGCTCCAGTCCCCTGTCCCCAGGGCAGCCCGGCCATCCTCAGCTCACCACAGTTTCATCTCCATGGAAAATGGACTCTATGATCAGGTTGAAGAAAGGCCTCTCTACAGCAGACCCACCCTTATCTCTTTCCATAACTCTCTGGGACCCAGAAGCATTGAGGGGAGGGGCAGTTAGAGGTTCAATGAGAGACACCCAAGTCCCCTAGGACTTCTGCTCATCCTGGGCCCCCAGACCCTGTCTGGGGATCTCTATAGCACCCCTTCCTTGGGGTCTGTACACCCCGTTTCTGTCTTAGGCCTCCAACAAATGTCCGCACGTGCTAGGCCAGGGCTTACTTGCCATGGAAGTCAGCATGTGAATATATGTGGGTACACATGAGTATTTGGGGTGACAAAACCAGGTTGTGTCCTCTTTTAAAGTCCCAGCCCTCTGCAGCGATGTCAAAAACTAAGTCAACAAAATGGTTTCTCTGATTGGAACTCGTCTGAGCTTTTTCTTCTTGGGGAGGGGACAGTTACGATGTTAGAAACAGCTTCAACCCGTGGGAGGTGGGGACCAGGTTAGCACCAGAGGGGATCGGCCTCCGCCTGGGAACAGGGCTTGGCCCAGGCGGGGTATTCAGGGTCTTTGGTGGCAGTGTCAGGCCAGGATTCTGGCCGTGCAGACCTTGTTGAGGAACATGGGGGTTGGGGAGGCGGTGAGACAGGACTGGGGCTCTGGTGGATCCCCAGGCAGGAGCGTCCTTCCCAGACTCCACCATGTCCTAGTATGGGCTTCAACCCAAGAAAAGCTCCTGTGTTCAGACCTGGCATCTCTGCCAGGGGCTCCTTGAGTGGCACAAGGTAAGGACCCAATGTCCTCCTTCCTCAGAATGACATCCAGAGGTGGGGACCCACCTCAAATCTTCCCACAGTGACTTCCTCTAGCTCTCTCCTGCTACAAGAGCACCAAACTGCTCCCCTAACCACTCAGGGAAGGCAGAGAGGCCTGCTGAGACACACGGAAACTGCGCTCACCCTCCCTCGTCCTCCACCTACACAGCCCTCCTTCTGTAAACAGACCTCTGGCGTCTCATGGGGCCTCTGTCAAGGGGACAATGTGGTGAGAACACTGAGCGCAGCAAGGCCCCACAGAAACACAGCATATTCTGGGTAGTGGAGCAGCAGGGTCCTGGGGCCAAGCTAAAGCTGCGCCCCACACCAGGCGATATTAGTGTGAGGGGCGCACCTGCCACCCAGCCCCTCCTGGGTCATGGCTATGGGAAATCCCAGGCAGTGCCACCTGCAAAGCCAGGAAATACCCCGTCTCTGCCTGTGCAGGGAAGGCCAGCCCAGAGGCTGTGGCCATCCCCAGAATCTTCCAGCAAGCTGCCACTTACTATTCCAGGTATGCTCAGATGGGGCTGTCCCACCTGGCGTGACTCCACACCAGATCTACACAGTGCTGGGGAGAGGGAAGACCAGCCAGGGTGAGGGGCTGGTTACGGGGTCTTTGGGCTTCTCTGCTGCAGCAAGATCATCAGCATCACCTTCCTAGGATTCCTGGGCAACCAGCTGGTAACTTAATGTAGCATGGGGTAGGGGTGAGGGGAAGGTGTGGAGGGGGCTCAAGGGAGAGAGAAAGGGGTGCTATGGAGATCCCCAAGGAAGATCAGGGAGATGTCAGTGAGGTCCCAATTACTGTGGAACCCTGCCAAGAGCAGGACAGGGGTATGGGGGCAGTGGGCCTTGCAGGATATCAGGGGAGGCCCTGGAGGGGCTCAGGGCCCTCACTTCTCTAGGAAGGGAATCTTCATGGTCCAAGCTTGGCTCCCAACTAGGACACTTGCCGTCATGGAGTTGGGGGAGCCCCACTGGCCTGAACCTGTCTTCCACAAGCTCAGGAGGTCACAGCCAGCCAGGCCCCTGTAGCACATGAAACCAAAAACTTTGGGAAGCAGGACGCCCTGGGTTACCAGCCTGCCCCCCGCTGCCCAGTTCCGGTTGCCAGAACCAGCAGCAGCTGAAGGCCAGCTGAGAGAGCTGACTGTGCTGTGGGGGTTGGGGGGTGACTACAACAGAATCCAGATTAGGTGCCTGGTCACTTCTCAAAAGCCAGTCTTGGAGATCAGGCTCTGATCTGTGCCGTGGGAGAGAACTTGCCCAAGGGGACAGACCCCAGCACCTCCACAGGGCATCCAGACCAGCCCTCAGCCACACAGAAGATTTGGACCTTGAACTGATCTGGATGAGGGATCCTCAAGGACTTGTAACTTCTCTGCGGCTCACTTTGCTCACTGGGTAGTAATGAGTGATAAGCAAAGGGGAGTGTGACGACTGTAACCCAAGACCTTTGCAGAGTCACTTAAAACCACCCCAAACGGTCTGTAGTTCCAGGAAGCCCATTCAGCAGATGTAAAGCCTTATCAGGCTACGTGACCTGCCATAACCTGCCGGGGTGGAAGTGGGAAGGCAGAAGTGCTCTCAATGGGGAGGACCGGAGCCGCTGGTGGTTAAATCACCAGCCCCGGCTGGGCACATTCTGTCCGGGAGCGGCCCGCCGGCTGGGGCAGTAACAGGAGAGCCGGGCATGGGAGGCTGGGGGCGCAGAGGTACTGATGAGGACCCGCTGGAGCCGGCCCCGGGCGGGAAGGGCAAGCGGGCGGTGACCACTGGGTGGCGCTTCTCCACGCCGCGCGCAAGGAACTCGAGCGCCCCCTGGCGGCGGCGCTGATACCCGCTGCTGAGGGGCCGGACTGCGCTGCGATCTCGGCCGAGAAGCGCGTCCTCTGTCTGGGTGGTGCTCTGGGTGGTCGCGGTGGTGGTCAGCGCTGTGGTCAGCCCGCGTCTGCGACTCGGTACCGGGGTCCGCGGCCCCGCCTCGCCCACTGCAGCCGACCCAGCAGCTCGCTCCGGAGCCGGGACCCAGTTGGACCCTTTCCTAGCCGCCCCCTGGTCCCCGCCTGGTCAGCCTGCTCCTTTTGCCCCCACAACTCCGTCCCACTGCGGTCAGGCAGCGGATCCCCGAGAACCCGTCTGCCCCGATCGCCGGCCCGCCGCTCCCTGGGAGCAGTCCCACCCCGCCCATCTTCGCGTTGGCCCCTGACCGGGCTCTCGGAAGCCTCCCGTACGACCCGGCCCGCCGGAGCCCCCCGGCTGCCCATGAGCCCCCGCTCCCCTCAGCGGCCCCCATCCTTGCCCCTCAGCAGCCACCCCACGCGGGGCGCCGGCCGCGGCCGCAGCCGCCCTTCTTCCCGCAGGCCCCGCCCAGGAGCAGCCGCGCCCGGGAGTAGAAGACGCTTCCAGGGGGGCTGAAGACACAAGGGAGAGTCGGGGCCCGCGGGAGCGCTGAGGCCCGAGGCTAGCAGGGCTTGGCCTGCAGGGGCGCGGGACGGGTCGCGGAGCGCGCGCGAGTCGCGGCGAGGGAGACGGAGAGGGAGCGCAGTGGCGGAGTCCACGGAAGGGACTTGGGCTTTATTGTGAGGGCAGCAGGCACGCTGGGTGGGAAGACAACCGGGAAGCTGCTGCAAAGACCCTGGTGGGGTGCGGCTCCCGGGTCTGGGACGGCGGAGCGTGCACCGAAAGGAGCGCGGGGACCCTAATGTGCTTGGTGACACAGTTGGTGCTGGTTGCCGGCGAGGGTCAGGATGGTCGCGGGGTGACACCTGACTTCCCAGCCAGAGCAACTGGGGAGGGCCAGTGCCATCCACGGAGATGCTGGAGACAGACGTGGCGCGGCTCGGGCCGGACGCGGGGGTGGGGTGGGGGTGGGGGCAGACCGCTATGCGAAACGGTGAAGAGGGAAATCAAATAAATGGAGAAAACGCGTCTTTATAGATGTAAGGCTGCTGGTCAGCGGTCAGTTCTCCCCAAGTGGATCTAAGGACCCAAAGCATTCTCACCGGAAGCAAGCTTCCTTGTAGACTAACCAACTGGTTTTAGAAGTTAAATGGAAAAACAAAGACAAACAAAAACAATTACTCAGAAAAGCCAAACCAATCTGGAAATAGAACAAATTTGGAGAACTCATAAGACTTTATAAGACATATAAAGTTAAAGAAAAAAAAAAGGCAGGGAGGGGTGGGAACAGGCCTAGATCAGTGGGACAGAGTCTGGAACTAGACCCCCCCACACACACAGGGTGTAACGTCAGAGTTTTTTAATTACAAAATAAAGATGTGTGTGCTGCGTCCTTGTTCATTTGTGTACACTGTTTAATTTCTCTCAGGTGTAACCCCCATAAAATTCCACCACCAAGTCACCCGTGAGCCATCACCATAGTCTCTTGCACTCTTCCCCCCCACCCCGTTTTGAGCCCTCCTCCTCTCCCCC